GGCGCAATACTTCGCCTTGTAAACAGAAAGGGCGCGAGCCCCGGGAGGGGCACTTCAACTCAAAAACATAATGACCATGTTCGGGATCAGCAGTCTTCATTCTCCCGCAAGAAAACTCAACAACAATCATCTTGAGACAGTTCGCTCATATCTGCTCGCTCGTCAATCAACGTAGACATCCCGAACCCTCGATTCATGCCCTCTCCGTCTTCGATCGTACCCGGCTCTTTGTGGGTCGAGGGGGGGTCGCGGGGGGGACAACGACGACGACGACGGCGACGGCGACGTCGACGACGACGGTACTAACGGCAGTCATTTTAAGACTATTTGCCCTCACCTGCTCGCATGTCAATCAAAATGTAGGTACCAATCCCTCGATATCAGCCGCTTCGTCTTCGATCGCGCCGCTGTGTCGAGCGGACGGGTCGCTGAAGCGTCAAACTTGCATGAATCGCGAGCGAATGTGTGACGATAGCGCGATTCTCAAGAAAGTCGTGAGGAGGTCGAGGTCGGGAGCGTGATTCCTGAGTGTCGAGGGCGCGGCGCCTAAGTAAACTGCAGAGATGTTCCAAGCGAGAGCCCCACTCCTGGGTAAATTGTGGAGATGTTCGGCGCGAGAGCGCGGCTCTTCAATAATTCTTGAGGGTGTATCGGGCGGGAGTCGTTGTTGAATTCTTTTTAACATAATTATTGTTGATCCCCCCTGCCCGGTGCACATCGTGTCTGTTTTGCGGTTAAAGTGTTTCTCCAGGGGCTCGGATTGTTTTTTTATTATAACAGAACATGTTCCTCAAACTGTGTTGTTGGCCCTGGGTTTACAACTACACTGTCTCCCGCCTCATACGTCCTCATCGTTTATTCCAAATCGCGTTCTCGCGTGGGACGTCCTCATAATTATACAGACACAGCGTTCTCGCGTGATACCTCCTCGCAATGTATTGCGACGCCATGCCCCCAACACTCAGGAATCACGCTCTTGCTTCGGATGTCCTGGCGAATTACTTGGGAATCGTACTACTGCTCGAGACTTCCTTGTGAGTCATGTTGGATTGACGCTTCAGCGACCCGCCCGCTCGACCCGGCCGTTTAGGCCCGCCCGCCCAACCTGCCCGTAAGGATCCTCCTGCTGGACCCGCTCGTCTGGTTCTGCCGCTTGTGCTCCTGCTCCCAGGCCCCCTCCTGCACATCTCTTTGGTGCTCCATTCTTCTCCCTTTCCCTCGTCTCTTGCCTCCTCCTTCCAGCCCATGTTTTAGGGGCTGCGCCAACTACGCGTGGCAGGTAAGGACAATCGATTCCCAACGGGGTACGTTCGAAGACAAAGAGGGCGGGTATCGAGAATCTGGAAATACGTGATGAATGGTACGCCAGTAGATATGAGCGAGCAGACCTGGAGCGATTGTTGGTGTTGGTGTTGTTGATGACGTTATTGAATTTTCATTTCCGAAGAATAATTATTGTTGATCCCCCCCCACCGGTGCATACTGTTTTTTCTCAATCAAAGTGTGCCCCTCGACGCTCGCACCCTGGCTTTTTGTCAGGGAAAGTCTTCCTGCTCAAATTGGGCCCCTGGCCACCGGGTTACAACAACAACGGCTCCCGCTTGAGACCTCCTTACAATTTAGGCAGGACCCCCGCTCCCGCCCGAGACTTCATCGCATTGTATCCAGGAATCGCTCTCTCGCTTGGGACTTCCTTACAATTTATTCAGGAATCGGTCTCCCAGAGCTCTGGAGTCGCGCTCTCGCTGGAGACTTGCTTGCACCTTACTGAAGAATAGCCTTGCGTTGGAATTTCCTGCTATTTGCCCAAGCGCCGCGCTCCCGACACCCAGGCACCCAGGAGTCGCGCCCGTTGTGGCCCCATTTGCATGCCCTTCGTGGCCCCGCTGTCGCCATTTGTGTCCCCCTCATTGTCCTACGTGGCCCAGTTGCTACCCTCAGTGGCCCCATAGTTGCCTTCTGTGGCCCCGCATTATCTGCACTTCGTGGCCCCCGCTCGTTCGCACTCTTCGTGGCCCCATACGCATTCCCTTCGTGTCCCCGCTGTCGCCCTTCGTGGCCTACTTCGTGCCCTTCGTGGCCCTGCTGTCGTTCTCTCTCGATCTCGCTTTCGCTCGTCGTCGCCGTCGTCGCCGACGTCGTCGTCGTCGTCGTCGTCGTCGTCGTCGTCGTCGTCGTCGTCGTCGTCGTGGTCGGTCCCCTGTCCGTCCCTCCTGGGGTCGGGTCGACGGTCCGCGGCCGCCCCGCCGATCAGCGCTGCCGCTGGCCCGGCCGACGGTCCGCGGCCGACCCGCCGCTTGCCGGGGCCCGGCCTGCAGGGAAAAACGGTATACCCCCCAAAAAGGGTTCGATCGAAGACGAAGAGGGCGGATATCGAGGGTTTGGGAAATACGCGTTACTGGACACTCGAGCATATAAGGGCGAGCAGTCTTAAAAAGATCGTTGTTGTTGTTGTTGCTGTTGTTGTTGATGTGGACTGGGGGCTAACGGCACAGTCTGTAGAACAATCAGATGCGAGCCCCGGGAGAGGCACGTCAAGTGAACAAGCACAACTAGCACAGGGGCGGGTTCGGGGGCAACAGTAATCATTTGTCAGAAATGCGACTTCAACAACAAACAACTACAACACAAGCAGAATTCACGCCACGGAATCCCACTTCACCCACGCACCCAGGGAGGGTGTAAGACCGCTCGGCCCCTTTTATCTTTAATATGCACAAACATAAACTGCCGGAGGTCCGCACGGATTCCTGAGATCGGTGTTTGACCGCCCTGGCGGCGCCTCGGGCGCCGCCCCCTGCGCGCCTTGCGCTCCGCGCGCCACAGGGGAGGGGGTTCCAGCGCAGATCCGAGAAACCGGCTCTGGCCTCCAGCTTATGTTTATGTAGCTCGGTCTGCTTGTATGATTGGGGACTGGAGCCCTGGGGCGGAGTAACTTTGAGATCGTTCAGTGCCGTAGGCTGCGTGACAAATATTTACGCACATATCTTCCAGGGCACGGAGCATCCGTGAGGCAGGCGCTATGCTATTTCATCGCAGTGGACCGATCTGGTGTGTGCATCATTAGCGACGGAGACCCTGAAGCAAAATGCATCCATAGGGGATGATGGCAGCTGAAGTACATAATGGAATGCGAACGTGGAGGGTCGACGTCCTCATCAAGATCATGTGTTCTATCATTATGTTTGGCTGCCCCTTGCAGCTTTGCCAGCTGCTGCCCCCTCTTCACATGTTACGGACGACTTTAGGTGAAATTGCAACCTGTAATCCAGCATGCATGAGCGCCGAATGTTCGAGCGCACGGTTGTCTTCCTCAGTGATTTGTTCATATTTGTATGTCTTGTTGATGGATTCATCCAGTGGTTGTTCTTGCTTTGGGGCGGCTCAGTCGCAGCACTGCACAGCCGGGGCTGGACGTTGAACACCTCATTCGCTGCAGTTCAGCACAGCTGCGAGAAGTGGCGAATTCTGAGAGCCACCCAGCATCAGGCAGAGGAGGTGGAGGAGGAGGCTGAGGAGGAGGAACAGGAGGAGGAGGAGGAGGAGGAGCGGAAAGGGAGGGGCACGGGGCGGGAGGAGGAGAAGCGCAGTTGCTCAGGCCATTGTCACCGCGAAGCTTGCAGGGTCAGAGTTGGGTTTCTCGCAAGGAGTGCCCATCACAGCTCTGCTTCATAGCGCTGCACCCGTCTGCAGGTCGTCGAGCAGCTTCCGTTGCCCAGTGGAGCCAGCAGTCAAGCCAGCGAGAAGACAGCGTCGGCAGCGTTGATTGCCCACGGATTGCCTGCCGCAGCCTATGGCGCGACCGATGGTGCAGCTTAGGGTGAAGTGGTGCACAAAGTGAGGCAATGGCCGATCTGGTGGCCCACGGGGTGCCTGGAGCAACCCCTGGCGCAATCTTACATCCACTGAGCAGCGAACGAATTGGTGGTCCGCTGGGTGACTGGTGCAAACGATGGCCCAATCTATGGCGCAATGGTGCGCCAGCAATGGCACTGGCCCGATCTGGTGGCCCGCGGGGTGCCTGGCGGTACTGATGGCGAAACCTATAGAGTAATGGGCAAGGTGGTGGCCCGCGGGGTACTTGGCGCAACCTATGGCTCAACCCTTAGCGCAATCTACAGCAGATATTGTTTAGGATGTCCTGGCGGTGTGAAGTTCACTGCGTGATCGAAGGGCGCCTCAGTACGCGAGCGGTTGCTCGAATGTTTGTGCTTCGCACCCGAGCGGTTGCTCCAAGGCTTTTGCTTGCCTTTTTTTATCGTTGTTCGAGCTATTGGCACTCTAGCACGGACTGGCCCGTCCTTCTATTGGTTTCTTCACTTGACATGTTCGAGCACTGTGCTCCAAGCCCATTGCCCATTGTGTTCCATCGCTGGTCGCCCATCTGGGACAAGAAAACTTCTGTGTAGCTCTCTGGGGGGGGGGGGGAATTCACGTGCCCATCAGCCGTAGTTGGTTTAGAGATGCTGCACGTCTCGTGTGTGGCTCACTTGCTACTGTTTAATAGTTGTGGGTCTGCGCAGTATGGCCTCATCGCGCCCATGAACTGTCTAGCGAAGCCTGGGTGCGACGTGCCGAGTGATCGATTCATTTCCACCAGCTCCCATCCAAATCAATCGTTCACTGAACCGTTACGGTCTAAGCGCAAAGCGCCACTCAGAACGGGAGTCGGGTGTTCAGGTCCCTGTCCATTCCATAGTGTGTTCGGTATACTCAACGTTCTGTGCAAGTCATATGGGACATATGTTGCACTGAAGATGCTCTTGGGGTTAAGTGTCTCTAGACGTGTTTCGGGCCTGGCCACCCAATGTACCACGTGGCTGGTTCAGTGCAGACCATCTCGTTTCTGTTTGGAGGACTGAGACTTCACTTGTTTCAGCGGTTGGTCATCACATGTTGTATCGAGCCTGCTTTGACGCGTGTTCTTCTGCATCGCCGGTTTTCCCAGAGTGCTCATTACTAAATTGTGGATACCGTCCATATTCTACCTCACCCGATACATGTCAGACATCGCTGCACGCGCACAACTTAGAGTACAGGCTGCTGTTCCTCTCTTTCCATCAGCCGTTGCGTACTCAATGGTTTAACTTGATTGCCACTCGAGTTTCATGTTTCTCGTTTGCTGTCGGGATTCGGTGATTCAACATATTTTGGACACCACCAGAGACCACACCGTTCCAGTTGCACTCGATGCTGTCTTAGATGCCTTACATCATCATATGCAGCTGCGGGTTTTGGGCGTGCGCCTGCTCTGTCGTCTTGCCACTTTCCTTAACATCATCTCGGTCGAAATCTGTTCGCCGCTCTCAGCACTGCTCCAAATCTTGCGATGTCAAGCGTGGGAAGCGCAAGCACAACGACACGCAACTGGTTTTAGACCTGTGTGGGCTGTCTGGGGTCTCTCTCGGATGCTTTCGATCATCTCTGGAGTTTCCGTGGGTCGTCCATGGCGACCTCCTGTACTTCTTGTTTTTGCGTCTGAGCAGCATACGGACGCCGTTCCTGCCCGCATGGCCCCGTTAGTCCAGGATGACCATAAGTTCTGGGGGACGCTCAGCAGTGGTACCCACGAGGCCTGAGGGGAGCGGGAAAGCTACAGGGTAGCTTTCGTGGTAAGGCAAATGTGCTGGAAATTTGTTGCGTTGTGAAGGGATCCATGATTCTTTTTCAAGCCTCCTGGGTCCACCTTGAAGCATTTTTGCTCCGTCAGCAGGGGCCTCATTGCGCATTCTGGTGGCATCTGGTGGCCTCGATTGGGGTACATCAGGCCCTTTGTGGGGACATCAAGGGGCCGCCAGAGGACATATTGTGGCCTTGGCACGTCCTGGAGCATTTTGCAGTCTCTCAGTCTCTCGGGGCGTCGAGTGTCGGACTGGCCTTGGCACACCTTGGAACGTTTTGCAGTCTCTCGGGACGTCGAGTGTCGGACTTCGCGTCTCTGAAGGCCCAGACTGGGGGGGGGGAGGCACGCCCGAGTGCCGTGGCTTCAAGGTCTAGCAGACACCGCACTGTGGTTCTGCTCACCCTCCTTGTTTCGATTGAGGCAACCATGTTCCCAAACCTGTTGGACGTCTGTGCGCAATCAGTTGTTCATAGATCAGGCGGTGTTCCGACGCTGCACCCTCCACGCTGTGCATCAGAGGAGGGAAAGGTACCGATGCAGTTACCCTTCCCTCGCCACCATTGCTGGAGTCGCCTCGAAATCATTTTCATGACGCACCCAGATCAGAGTGAGGGGGCTGAACCGAACGGTCATTCACTGTCCCTGGGTGCGTGGCTGAAGTGGAATTCCGCGATGCGGATTCTTGTTCTTGTTGTTGTTGTTGGTGTTGGTGTTGGTGTTGTTGTTGTTGTTGTTGTTGTTGTTGGTGTTGTTGTTGTTGTTGTTGTTGTTGTTGTTGGTTGTGTGTTGTTTGTTGTTTGTTGTTTGTTGGTGTGTGTGTGTTTGTTGTTGTTGCTGCTGTTGTTGTTTTTGTTATTGTTGTTGTTGGTGTTGTTGTTGTTGTTGTTGTTGTTCTTGTTATTGTTGTTGATTGCTGGTTGTTGTTGTTGTTGCTGCTGCTGTTGTTGTTGTTGTTGAACATTATTAATTCTAAAGAATAATTATTGTTGGGACCCCTGGTGCACGGCCCCCCTGCGCCGCCTAGGCCGCAGCTACATTTTCATCATTTTCGTGAGGAAGCCTCAGGTAACGATGTGATCAAGATCCGGTTGTTTTGTTGTAATCCGCTTTCCCTTGCAAAAAACACTATAAAATGACATTTCTTGTTCTAATATAATCAAATTTCAAGAATCCCTTGCAAAAAATAAGGTAAAGTGGACATTCGCGCGCGCAAGACGAAATCCTTCCAAAAGCTTAGTGTTCGGAGCGATTTTAACATAAAAACATCAAAAAACCAATGGTTTTTCAACAAAAAAATGTCAAAATCTCATCCCGCGCGCTCTTGCGGATTCGTAGGAAACCCAACACTTTTTAAACATTTCTGTCAAACGGGCTTTTGCGAGCAACTTTTTCGAACTTCTGCGACAACGGTTGCGCACCTGCCAGGGCCATCATCCCTGTCAAATAATACCATGCGGGACACATTCGTTTTTTCTTCGCGCGCGCACGCCGTCGTCGTCGGCCGCGGGGCCCTGAATAGTAGCCACGGTCGTCCGCATGCCACGAAGTGAAGTGTCCGAACGTCATAGGGCGGGAAGCTGGGTGTGGGTGGTGGCGAAGAGTCGTTTGGAAATTTGGTAGAGCTTGAACCGGCCCCCCCACAAAGTGGGGGTATTGCCCGCCTCCTATGAAAACCCTGGCACTGGTGAGAACGGTGTGTCCCCACGTGCTAGTAATTGTTGTTGTTGTTGTTGTTGTTGTTGTTGTTGTTGATTGTTGTTGATTCCTGTGTGTTGTTTGTTGTTTGTTGTTTGCTGCCGTCGCCACCCGCGACTCGCCCCGCGACCCACCTGCGACCCACCTCGCGACCCACCCGCGACCCACCCCGAGACCCGCCCGCGACCCACCCCAAGGCCCCCCGGCGACCCACCCGCGACCCACCGGCGACCCACCCGCGATCCACCCGCGACCCACCCGCGACCCACCGCGACCCGTCCGCGATCCACCCGCGAACCACCCCGCGACCCACCCAAAATTTTTGGCGCCTGCGGCGGGTTTCTTCTGCATTCGTTGCAGGTGGAGAACCGGCGACCCACCCGCGACCCAAACCGCGCCCGCGACCCACTCGCGACCCTCCGCGATCCACCCGCGACCCACTCGCGACCCACCCCGCGACCCACCCGGAATTTTCGGCGCCTGCGGCGGGTTTCTTTTGTATTCGTTCCAGGTGGAGGAACCTGTGACCCACCCGCGACCCAAACCGCGTTCAGTGTACAAATCAAATTGTTCGGCGCCTGCGGCGGGCTGTTTTTGAATCCCTTCCAGGTGGAGGTGGAGAGCCCGCGACCCACCCGCGACCCAAACTACGTTCATTGAACAAGCAAACCCAAATTTCGGCGCCTGCGGCGGGTTTCTTTTGCCATTGTTCCAGGTGGAGAACCTGCACCCAAATCGCGTTCAGTGTACAAATCAAAACTTTCGGCGCCTGCGGCGGGCTGTTCTTGAATTCTTTCCAGGTGGAGGTGGAGAGCCCGCGACCCACCCGCGACCCAAACTACGTTCATTGAACGTTCACTGAACGAGCCAAACAACGTTCACAGAACGGCTCGACGCCCGCGTCGCCCGCGCCCGCCCCCTTACTCTTATCCGCAATTGCGGGGCATACGTATCTTTTTACACCCCCTAGTGCAAGGGCGGGTGTTCTTCCAGTTTCAATGGTGGTGGCGGACCAGGAGCAGCAGGGCAGCGAGGAGGTGGAGGGGCGTTCGCAAACCTCGGTCCCAGGGGCACTGCAGCCGATTGTGATCTGGAGACTGCTCTCCCAGGAAAAGTTGCATGCACTGCACGTGCACCTCCATGGTGGCGTGGCACTTGTCTGGGCCACGCAGAGGGAGGCGCCGAACAGAAGACGCTGTATTCCTTACTGATCAGGCCCTTGCGCTCAATGCGTGTGTGTGTGTGTGTGTGCGTGTGTGTGTGTGTGTGCGTGTGTGTGTGTGTGTGTGTGTGTGTCTGTGTGTGTGCTGTGGCTTTGCGCGCGCGCTCGTTGGCACCCGCCCCTGGGCCAGGCCAAGATGATCCACGCCGCCGCCAGACGGCCCGCGTGCATCATCGTGGCAGCATGCTGCTTGCCTGGGCCACTTCTGTGCCAAGCGCAAGGCCTTGCCATGGGGCGGAATTGTACCACACCTTGCTTCTCATACTTCTAGATCGTTTTCTCGTTTTTGCGTTCGGATTGCACGAGAGCTCTTTGTGGCATTATGTCGGCAATCGCTCTGGCAGGGGTCTGCTTCACCGACATACACGGCCTCCTGGGGCTGCAAATGCAAGCTTCAGTTTCGGACCTTGGTGGGAGCGATCCGGCGTTGCGAAATACGACAGAGGTAGCAGGATGCATTCATCTGCGGGCCCTCCCTGCACAGGAATCGTGCATCACCGGTGTGCCACGGGTCTTCCGAGGACATTGTGAAGCGCACGTGTTTTTCTGTCGTGGCGAGGTAGATCGCCAACGATGTTTCCACGATAGGCGGCCTATCAGGCGCGAGACCCTAGATTCCTTGTCCAACGACTCATCCGATGTCCTCGCCGTATTGTCAGCTACTAGACGCTATTGCAGGAAACTTTGGCGCAGAGCCCGTACAGTCACACAGCCAGAACACACGGGGGGGATACTGGATGAGTTCATGCATGTCAGATTGCAGTGCGGAACGCCTTGACGTGGTCAAGCTAGCATGAGGCACGATAGACCGCACAGTAACTCTTGGCGATTTGCGTGCCCCCACCAGTCCACCCAGAAACTATCACGAGGAGGGGTCATGTAAGATTACGAGGCGGGGTGATGTGAGAAGGAATTCGAAGGAGCACATGGGATATAAAAAGGGGGCGCCAGTCAAAGCGAAAGAGGGAACCGAACAACCCCCCCAGCCCGAGGAATCGACATCCTGGGGATCACTGCGCGCTACATGGCGGTTTCTTGGCGCCACCTTGGTCTCGGTCTCTGGTGCATACTTTTAAGGCTCCATGGCCGCCCATCGCTATCATGGAACACACTTTCTTTGCGTCGGCGGCTAGGCAGAGGGACTGCGCTGGCGAGTTGAGCAAAACGGGACACAATAGGCGAATTCACCCACCATGCAGAGGGGGAGGGAGGAGGACAAGAGGCGCCATCATGGAGGCAAGCTTGGGTCATCTGACACTACCCTGGGGCCACCGAAGGTCACCTTGGGCCATCTGGCCCCTTGTTGGAGCTCCCGCTTGTGCGCCCCAGAGTCTCCAGAAGGGAAGGAGGGGTTGCTCTGGAAGAGCTTGTACGCCGGAGAACCTACGTACGCCCAGAGGGCTAATGAGACTGGAGCGTCCAGTCGTTGCTGTCCCAGGCGGGAGAGGGTGCGAGCGGGACGGCTCCTGTTTTGCGCGGGCGAATGCTTATTCGCATGTTGCGCATCGCAGTTTCCCTGTTCGGGCCGCCATCCGCTCCTGTTTCTGCGTCAGCACAGAACCTGTCTCCTCGCCGTCGTCGGAACATGACCGGTTCAACAAATCTGCCCCCAGATTCGCCGTCCTCCAGGGGTCCATCCTGGCCAGGTTCCTGAGCTGGCTCGGCCCATGCTAAGCATGCTTATCATCTGTGTGGCTATCATTGGGCCTCTCATCTTCCTCCTTGGCCCTTCTATTTGACCTGGCTTGGTTCCTCGTCGTCTGTCAGACCAGCGTGCGCACCATGGGCTGCCCGAGCGCCCTTGATGAGACGGTGGGAAGAGATGGGGGAAGGAGGAGAGAGGACGAGGAGGAGGACGAGGGAGGACGAGTCAGGAGGAGAGAGGACGGAAAAGGAGAGAGGAGGAGGAAGAGGAGGAGGAGGAGCGGAGGCTTTCTGGCTGTCGCTGCGGCGCTGACGCGGGAAGCCCAGGCGGCGCCGGGTCTGAGCGCCGGCCGCAGCCGAGGGAGGGGAATCGACGAGATACTCGTGGGCTGCCAGTGGGTGATGCCGCCGACCCCGCACAGGTCCAGGCGTGGGGCCCCGCATGGCCGGGTGGCGGAGGCGCTGGAGGAAGCTGGCGTCGCCCAGCGCCTGAGCTGGGCGGGCCTGCCAGGGTGCCCGTGGTGGCCCGCACGTGGCCGTGCACGAGAAAGCAAGGAGGGCGGAGGGGGAGCATGGAGAGGAGGAGGAGGAGGAGGAGGAGGAGGAGGAGGAGGAGGAGGAGGAGGAGGAGGAGGAGAAGGAGGAGGAGGAGGAGGAGGAGGAGTTGGAGGAGGAGGAGGAGGAGGAGCAGCAGCAGCAGCATCATCAGCAGCCTCCCTCCCGTCCTCCGTGCGTTTGTCTTCGTCGATCGGCCGACCCGTGGCCCCTCTCTCTCTCTTGCCTCTGGGCGTTTGTGCGCCCTGCCCCCGCAGACGGCGGGAGGGAGGGCCACACGAGGGCATCGGGGCACCGACGCGAATTTGTCCGCAGCTTCGAGCTGCGAGGAGCAGCAGCAGGAGGAGGGGCAGGATGAGGAAAGAGCAGGAGTGAGTGGAGGAGCAGAGGGGGGGAAGGAGGGGGGAATCTGGAGGAGGGGGGGCTGGAGGAGGAAGTGGAAGCGGAGGAAGGGGGGCAGCAGATGGAGGACGATGAGGAGGATGAGGGATATGAAGGAGCACCTTCCTCATTCGACTCTGCACGTATGCATCCCAGGAACTTGTCATCGGAGTTGACCCGCTCACCCCCGCTTTGAAAGAAAAACCTTCCCCATCTGAGGAAGTAGCAGCGATGCCCATACATGTTAGCACCATGTTCAAGCATATGGAGACCCAGCGCTCCCTTTATAGGCGCCATCCACCCTCGTCCCTCGTAGATGTTGCTGTGTTGCCTGACGCGAGGTCCTATGGAAAGCCTCACGCCTCCCCATGTTGACGCGAGAGCGTCGCGTTCAACCATTTCAATCGCCCTCCACAGTTGTGGCCGTTGCTAGCTGTTGATACGAATGTGCGCGGCGACCATGGTTTGAACAAAACACCTTTCTTCCATCTGAGCGGCTGTTTTTTTGCAAACACGTGTGCTCAGCGCTCTTGGGAGAACCATAGTTTGAAAGTTGCGCGGCTCCACGTACGTAGATGTTGCAGATGTGTGCAACGAATGTGCGCAGCACTACATCGAACGCCACGTTAGAGCATCAAGCGCCCTCCATCCGTGTGGTTGTGGGGGTGTTTTGCCTTCAGAGGCCAGCGCGAGGGGCCCCATACGCAAGGAATGTGGCCCAACGTGTGAGATGCATCCACATAGCAGCAACCATGAGGCGTGAATCTTGGGGCACTGGAGGGCACTCGCCATGAAGGCACCGGCCATGGGACACTATGACATACCGCCAGCCGTAAGGCATTCACCGTATTGCCCTACCAGAACGCACAACGTATGGGGCACCGAACCTTGGGCACCGTCCGCTGTCCAACCAGAGAGCATTGTCCACAGGGCACCGAAGAAGGGGCGCTGAGGTCTCCAACCATGGGACACCAACCACCATGAGGCACCAACCAAAGGACACCTACCATATGGCACCTGCCAGCGTCCATGTGGCACCTACCACAGGGCACCGACCAGTGAGCAACGACCACGTGGCACCAGCCACAAGGCACCTTCCCCAGAGCACCAGCGCACGGACGGCCCGACGCAACACATAGGGCATTCGCAGGGCACGAGCGCGCAAGACGGGCCGACTGCGGCAAGCTGGGTCGGGTTCCGTACAGCGCAAACAATTTTTTCCGAATCGCAATCGTTGTTTTGGGAGGGCTTGAGGAACTCGCGCGAAACCCCTGGTCTGCCTTACTGTTACGTCTGATGGTGCGACCAGGAGGGATCTGGGGAAGAAAAGTGGTGGGGGAGGAGGAGGAGGAGTGGGCGGGGAGAGCAGGAGGAGGAGGAGGACTGTGATCCCCGAAAAGGCCGTTTCAGGATTTGACCCATCGTTTGCTGCTCAAAATGCATTGGGGCTTCTACACTTTGCAGCAGGAAGGACTAGGAGGAGGACCAATGCAGATCAAAGACGCATCAACGATGTTGCAAAACAGTGAACTTTCTAAGCTTCCTCTTTAAAACGTCCCTGCAATAATTGTCTTGCATTGCGGGCGGCGCTCGGCCGAGAGTACCATTGTGAAAAGGATCCGCCCTCTATCCTTGAAGCTGTTGCGAACATCTAAGACGAATGTGCGCGGCGCTCAGGCGGGAGTCACATTTTGAGCCACACGTTGAAAACGGGCCGCCCTCCATCTTGTTTCAAGGTTTTACAGATGCCGAGCTTCAGGATTACGAATGGTCAGGAAGTCTCAGGCGAAATGCCCAGCCCGCCCTGCCAACATGTATGGGGGTGCAAGAGCGAGAAGTATTTCCATCGCTTCGCTCACTCCGCCAGCCCATCTCCAATGGCCTTCGGCCAATCCCGCCACCGTGCCTGGGTGTTGGGACTTTGAGGCCTCTTGGATGCTCGTCAGGATCTCGCCGAGGCCTGTCGGGGGCCGCCAGGAGGCAGTTCTGAGACCTTTGGGGGACAGTTTTAGGGCCTCTCGGAGCCTCGTGGGTGGCTCCTGTGGGCTTCTTGGGACCTTTTAGGAGGCCTCTTCGAACTTCTTGAGCGCCTCTTGGGGCGGAAGGCTTGGATGTTCGGTTCGTGCTTCCCCTCTTGGGCCCCTCTTGACGCCGTCTTGGGCCCTCTTGGACCGTCTTGGGCGCCTCTTGGGCTGTCTTGGGGCCCTATTGGGGGCCTCTTGGCTGTCTTGGGGCAGTGTGGGCCTCTCTGGGTGCCTTGGAGCTTAGAAAAGTGGGGAACCACAGCAACATTGAAAAACCTACGGGAAATCGTCGATAATCGCAGGTTGCGGCCTCTCGGGGCCATGTTGGGAAAGCTCTTGGAGGCATCTTGGACCGTCTTGGGCGCTTTTTCGGCCGACGGGAGGCCATCTTTGGCGTTTTGGGCCGACCGTTCAGCGATTCGGGTCCCTCTTGGACCGCCTTGGGGGCCTCTTGAGGTCCCGAAGACCGCCCTGTGGAGTTCTGACATCCATGAGGTATTTTTCGTCCCAAGACCTGCAGCGGCGGCTTTGCGCGCGCGAACCACAAGTGTTCTGAATCTCATACCGGAGATCTCAGCAAGCCTCTGGCCTCTGGCCCTGTGGGCAAGCGAGTTCAC